CCTCAGATAATGGGAAAGAATTTGTGGATAAATCAGTGAAATTGATTTAGCAAAAATTGGGAATTAAGCAACGCCTAGGAGCAGTTTATCACCCACAAAGTCAAGGGATTTGTGAAAAAATGAATGGTGTTTTGAAAAATCGCATTGTCAAGCTTTGCCAGCATACGGGTCTAAACTGGATAGCGGCGCTCCCTTTAGCATTAATGGTGTGTCGCTCAAGTGAGTTGCGTGATCTACGTATGACACCCCATGAACTGGTTACAGGAAGAAGGATGCCTATGCCTTGTTTGCGAACAAGAGGAAAGGGTCCAAGTTTGGCTCTCTTGGAAGATGAAATGAGAGCGTATGTTACATATATGGCCAATTTTCATAAAAAGTTATCCACATATGTTTCTGACAGGCAAAGAAAAGAAGAGGTGCAGGAGAAGCTCGATGAGCAAAAAAGGAGTACAGTGCAACCTGGGGACAAGGTGTTCGTGAAGGTATTTAGAAGGAAGTGGTATAACGAACGCCGTGAGGGACCATTTGAAGTTGTTCGTAGTACTGGAACGGCTGTCCAGGTTAAAGGGTCTCCAACGTGGTATCATTTGTCACATTGTGTTAACGCGCCTAGAGAAGAGGTGCCACGCGCAGAGAGCCAAGATGTTGAAGGCTCAAGAGAGCAGGATAAAGATAGGGAAGAACAGACAGAAGGAGAGATGCATGACAATATCCAGAGTCAAAACCCAGAAGGAGAGATTGTCCATGCTGTGGACAACGTTGATGATCATGTGTACACTTCTGATGATGCCAGACACGACTCTGCAATGGATGGACAGGAAAGGAGATTTGGGGACATTGATTTTCAATACGTCACAGAAACAACAGGGCATATTTCAGTGGAATGTGAAACCGCAGAGATCACCAAGGGCAACTCTGTTACAGGAGAAGCCAGTGATTCGGTTAGACAAAGTAGCCCCAGACCAGTTCGGAAAAAAGTCTGACCAAAACGTTACGAAAACTAGGGTTGAAGTAACTCTAGGATGATATTGAGATGGGTTGGAGTTGTGATGCCTGGAGACAACACTCAGATGCTGTTGTTAACCGTGACTGATCTAGATGGAGATGAACAAGTGGTACTGGATGGAGTATTGATGGATAGATATCCATTTTGAATATCTGATTGTGCGATAATTTTCAAATTTCTTTGCATATTGTTGTGATATTTAGTGTTTTCTTATGAATCAAAGGGGGAAATGGAATGTGATTCATTATTATATATCATTTTTATATATCATTTTTATATATTATTTTTGATATTGATGTTTTAATTTTCATGTGTTGCTTTGCAAAAGATACTGGTTGGTGTTTTATTTTCTTCCAGAAGCATATGGGGAATGTGTAGAGTGGGATTCAAATACTCAAACATGGACAATATGAATGGACTGGAGGAATCTGAACAAGGACGGTGTGGAAATGTTCAGATTCCATCATCGGCGTTGCATTGAAAGTCGACACTGCTGAGGAGCTGCAGTATAGTGACTACATTCCAGTGTCTGCACTAATATATATACATATTTGCATGTGTAATACACAATGTGTCATATTCTTTCTGTATGAATTTTTTGAAGAATGATGTTTTCTGTTGTTGGGTACATGTGGGGACCTCAGATGTTTTTCATTTTTCTTTGACGCTTAGGGATATTGGGTCTAGGCAGGGACAGAGAGAATCCACGGGAAGGTCCGATGGGTCGACCAGCCTGAATGTGGAATTTTTTTGATTTTATTTTGTTTTCTGAGGCTTTCACGTGTATTCGATTGCACCATAGCTTAAAATGCATTGATAAAGATTTATAAATTGATCTGGAGTACTTAGGTGGTCGCCTGGGGCAGAGGGGCCGTGAGAGAATGTTCCTGTCTTGATTGATTGATGGATATTTGGAAAGAAAGCTGCCAGACAGGTTTTTCGCTCTTACACTCCATAACAATTTGTTCACACTCCATAAACTTTGTTTTATTGCTAAAGTTACACAAGAAGCCTGATGTAATACAAATTGTTATTTGTCATAATCCTATTCTTTCATTTTTCGAGACTTAATTAGTCTCGAAGGGGGGAAATATGTAGTATCTGAGGTTTTCATATTGTGGGTTAGATTAGCTTTACTCTACTTTGCTGAAACATCTGGAAAGTGTTATTATAGGGGCTCCCTAAAACAGAGGACATTCGGCTATGTGGAGGCCAGGGATTGGTCTATTCAAATCACGCCATCTTATGTTACATAAAGCATAGGATATATATACCATGTTTTAACAAAATAATGGGAGAGTGATCATATTTGGGATTGGTTTCGTTGCTCTCCAGATTCTGCAGAGTCTGTAAATTGATGCTGAAATCTTTGATATAATAAACCTTTATAATCAAAGTACAGTGTCAGCGGATTTCTTATCAACACATCATCGCAGCATCGTTGTTCGGACACCACACTAGCATGCTAGCTGCCCATAGCTAGCCAAGAATGTGGTTGTTTGGACCCCAGAAGTTATTTGGACATGGTTCATTTCATGCTAGCCTTTTGCTATGACATTCACCCAGTGCTTAATCTGTAAATCGGGAGGTGCCGGAACAAAAAGTGAGCGCCAAAGTGAGGAGTTCTGAGGTACCGGAACACCTGAGAAAAAAATCACCTTTATAATAAAGCATTGTATGCATATCATCGCATTTGCGTAGTGGCATAGAGCAGTAGAGTAGAGGCCCTTATAGAAGTTGCACACATGGGGAACATTTTTAGTAGCCTAGGATCTGGGAAAATGTTGGCCTTTTATAAACGCATTTCATGCAATTCTACATAATTTTACATGACTGGAGACTTTTGCTGAATCTTTTTTAATACCGCACAAATTATCGAAATGGCAGGCTACTTTGACACTGACGAACTGAGAATCTGAGATCAATAAAAACGACCTTGTCTTGAATCCATCAATAGCCTAGGCCTAGGTGTGTGGAGACACATATTGTAGGCTACAATATGAGGAGGAAATTATAGTCCTAAAAATGCTTTCCAGTTTCACTGACTCACCCAATGATGTGCAGCTCATTCGGTGGTGCTGTCCGATGCTCGTGCCAAAAGCCTCTCTCTCTTTTGTAAAATTAATATTTGGAAGTTGATCAAATATTTTGGTAGACTACAGCATAGTCTTCTCTTTTCAGCAGGAGCCATTTGCTTTCCAACCTGTGTTTTCCCTCGATTGAATTTGAAATATTGCGAAAGGCCTGTTTTGTTTTCGTGCTAATTTTTCACTGACAGATTTGTTGTGCGTTCCCGACTCTAGGCTATTCCTTGTTATCAGGCTACAATCCACAGCTATTGATCCTCTGTCGCTAAATTATAGGCCTTCTCATGACATAGTGGGCTATTCTGAATGATTTCATTTATTTCTGAACAGACAAACTTTAACTATGGCAAATATATTTAAATTGATCAGGGGTGCTGCAGTTTGTTCAGAACCCTTCGCGTGGCTATGATTCTATAAGAAAATAAATGATGAAGTGCAACGCTGGCGAGATGAGAGTTGCAGGCTCATGTCTATCAGAGCAGAGAGGGAGAGAGAGATCATAGAAAGTGAATCTCATTCTAGTTATGTGAGAGATACTGGTGTGCTTCTCTCACAGCCACGGCCAATCGTTGGTCTCAAACATAGGTTACAATGTCGTGCAAACCAAAAACCCAGGCTGGCCCAACCCGAATAAACTCTTAGAATATAAGGCTGGGCTGAAAATCTACTTTTTCACATTACGTTTTTTTGTGGGGGCAGGAGAATTAACTAAGAGGCAACTCAAATGAACTTTGATCGCTTTTATTATAATTTTTACATTGTAAGGAGAGGTACTGGATCCAGCCAAATAGGTTCCGGAATAAAACAGTCCAAAACAGAGAGTTGCCGGATCATGTTCCGGCACCGGCTCAAATTAAGCACTGCATTCACCTCTCTTTCACTGATGCCTGCATTCACCTCTCTTTCACTGATGCCTCTAATGTAATTGAGGATAAGGTAAATCAAGTGTGTAAATCCACCATCCACAGCACATCGCTAACGGAGAAGAAGCAGTTTGGCAGTGCAGACAATTCCCTCATTAAAGGCTAGAGACTCGGGCATAGACACACGCACACACACCTTCATACAAATACACACACACTAACACACATACACACAAACTAACACACCTTCATACAAATACACACACACAAACTAACACACATTCATACTGTACACACACACTAATACATATGTGCTGGCTGCTTGGGAATTTCATGCTGTACATTCACAGCTGCACATGGGTAAATTGGGACATACAGCCTTGCATTCCTAATTAACATGGGATGTAATGCAGAGAATACATTACAACTATAATCTGAACTATAATTGGACATTTCACAAACGCTGTTGCTTCCATGCATTTACTAAATGAAGCTGAGATTGGAATACTTAACATCTTTATAAGGCAACCGATCTGATCATTGTACTTTATAAAGCAGATCTAGGACTGTTAGTTCCAGAGCAATGCTTTTAACCTTCCCCTTTCTCATTACCCAACTATACCCCAGAGTGCCATCCACGCTCGGCAGCAGGTGTGTGGTCTCATGCATAGCCCCGCTAATGTGGCTCAATCATATCTAATCAATGACTGGCATTTCTACCCAGAGATATTATATTTACCTTCCCTGTTTGGCCAATATATAATCAAGTCCCTTCGGCCCTAAACCCACTCCGGCCACAAGGCTGTTGCTATGGCGACCACCCATTGTGCCGATAGCCTTTGTGAGTTCTGCAGACACTACCTCTTAATTATCCTCTAGCTTGCTTTTCATTCTCTTTAAAGGGACATATTTTCTTTATAAATAGATCAGCCTCTGTCATTAGGAGCATAAGGCTGTTTTTTTTTGTTCATGTGCTCAATCCATGGGGTTAGAGTAAACAGCGCAGTGAAGTAGAGAGGGTTAACTGCTAAACATCTGAAGTAAATGTGCAGCTGTGAGGTCAGCATGGTGCAAATTAGGCTAAATATTAGCTACCTTTCCCCAAATAGCCCAATCAAGTAGCCCAACCACGTAAAATGAACAAGCATGAAACTGATGGCACAGTGTCGTCTTCTTCAATGATCTCATCTTGAGAAGGTCCATTTTTAGAGCAGCTCACATCCCGTCCTACCCTGTCCTCATCCCCCAGTTACACCCTGTCCTCATCCCCCAGTTACACCCTGTCCTCATCCCCCAGTTACACCCTGTCCTCATCCCCCAGTCCCATCCTGTCCTCACCCCCCAGTCACACCCTGTCCTCATCCCCCAGTCCCATCCTGTCCTCATCCCCCAGTCACACCCTGTCCTCATCCCCCAGTCACACCCTGTCCTCATCCTCCACTCACACCCTGTCCTCATCCCCCAGTCCCACCCTGTCCTCATCGCCCAGTCCCATCCTGTCCTCATCCCCCAGTCACACCCTGTCCTCATCCCCCAGTCACACCCTGTCCTCATCCCCCAGTCCCACCCTGTCCTCATCATCCAGTCCCACCCTGTCCTCATCCCCCAGTCCCATCCTGTCCTCATCCCCCAGTCACACCCTGTCCTCATCCCCCAGTCACACCCTGTCCTCATCCCCCAGTCACATCCTGTCCTCATCCCCCAGTCACATCCTGTCCTCATCCCCCAGTCACACCCTGTCCTCATCCCCCAGTCACATTAGGGTTGGACAATATCCAGATTTTTATACCATCATACTAATGATAGAATGTTCATATTTGAAGATAGCAGAAAGGCCAGGCTCTTTGGCAATGACAAGGACTGGCAATGAGTGGAATGTTACATAAAGAGTCTGATACCCAAGCTAGAATGCTGTAACCAAGAAGCTTGATTTTGACATCTAGCCACTTAGCTAGCAAGTTAGCAAACCAAATGCATAGCTGGAGCCCTCAGCTGGATCTAATTAATTTGACACATCTGCGATTTCTTATAGTGATACTTAACTTATAGTTATAAGCAGCGGTGTAGCATGCACTCCCGCATGCACCACCGTCGGTATTTCAAAATATCCATGTATATGGTGTAAACGGTATATCACCCAAGCCTAAGTCACACCCTGTCCTCATCCCCCAGTCACACCCTGTGTTAACTCTGAAAGCAGATGGATATGCATGGTTGATGTCTATTGCACCTGTTCGCTATGTGCTCGATGTTGGTCTCTGTGTTTCTGTGAAGATAAATAAACCATCTGTTCCAAAGCATTGAGGTTTCATACTTTACACTTTGCCACTATTCAGAGTGGAAGGAGCTCCAAAATCTGTCAACTGCCTTGAAGTGTGTTTCATTAGTTTCATGTTTGCGAGATGCATTTGCATTTCTAGATTCATTGTTTACTACTTATGCAAAGTGCCATTCATAGACAACATTTTCACATTTCAAGTAATGTGTCCCAAAGAATAAACAAACAAAAAAATGTTTTGATCACCACTATTGGACTGAGATGCGGGTCCTACACGGCAACAGTAGAAATCCAATCTTGCCTCAGTGTCTAGTTGGAGTTGGCTTGCCATTGCCAACAACATGCCACGAAGTTCTCCACGTTGAATGTGCTGACTACAGTGAACTTTGACATTAGTATTTTGTAGTAGAGCTCACCAGTACCAGAGGAGTGTGCAGGGGGGTTCTGTTGAGAAGGCTTAGGGTGCATCCCAAATGACACCATATTCCCTTTATAGTTCACTACTTTGAACAGAGCCCTAGACAAAAGAAGTGCACTATTAAGGGATAGGGTGCCATTCCGGATGCACACTTAGACTGGATCTAGGGCTGCAGAGTGAAATTGCCTCATGGCTCAATGTCTGCTCTACCTTAACACTGGTGTCAAGTGGAATGCACAAAGCTGCCACTCTCCAAGTCAGAACATGTTTCCAACTAAAGCTTTATGTGTCGTTTGAGTGGTAATTGCCAGTGATGTCGAAGCAACAGTAAAAATATTTGAACAAATAATTAATGATGCTGTTTACTCATTAAGTAAATTAATTATCCTTATATGCAAAGGTTCTAATAAAAACTGTTACTATTTAGAACAGTGGTCACAAACCTTTTCTCAGTCGAGATCACTTTCTGAGTCAAGATTATCTACCGCTCAGATTATTTATTTTTTAACATGACTTAAAAACGTACGTTTTGCAACATTAACCAATTAAAAAATGTTCTGTAGCAATGAGGTTTGTGCAGTAGGCTATAGGCCCAACACATTATCATTGTATATTGGTTATGCTTGAATTGCCCAGCCAATGTTGTTCTTCTCAGACCATTTTTTTATTATATATATTTTTTTAAATAAAAAATGGTATATGATCACACTGGTAATAGATCATTTGTTGTATTACTTGTGAGGCCCAGCTGAGTGAACATAATAATTTGCCTCTTTTTTTTTTTACTGGACTGATGGCCTGCATCTGATGGTCAGTCTAAAGGAGGGAAGGAGGGAGCAGTGGTGAGACTGCCAATGCTGCCATTAGCCGATCATGTGAAGAGCAATGTTTGCTTGAAAATCGTATGTTCATGAAACATAGTTCCGCCTGTCATTAGTTCCAGGCAAGCACAACCAAAAAAGATGGAGGAATGCCAATCATCGCTGTGTCTGGTTTTCCAATTCTATATGATTTTGCTTTGCTAGAATACAGAGACAAAATCATAAGGTCAATGGCATGGAGTAGGATTTCAGAGATTTTTGGTGTTGAAAGTGGGTGAAGAGAGATTTGCACAACAATGTTTGCTTGTGCTGCTAGCTAGCTATGAACATCAAGCAACCTAAACCTCAAAACTGTGAACAAAGCCACCATTTGTGAATGTGTTGACTAAATTAAATTATTAAATTTGCCAACCAAAGGATAGAAATCACCAGTAACATGCATTATAACATTGTAAATGATACACTAACAATAAATGTCCCATGTAATATGCTACCAATTGGATTATGGTATCTTAACATTATGATTCTCAAATATTATAGCTTATGGCTCTTTCATTATACTTCTGTCATGACATTGATGATTATAGCTCACTTCCTGTTTAATACATAGGCCTACTTACACATGAATGGGTACTTTGGGTAAAGGAAATTGTGGCATTGACTTGCAAACATTGTTGTGCAAATCTCTCTTTATCCACCATCAACACCAACATCTCTGCAATCCTCCTCCATGCCAATGACCTTATGATTTTGTCTCTGTATTCTAAAATCATTCTCAGCAAATAAACAAGGTAGAATTACAATGCTTCTAGTTCCGACAGTGCAGCAATATCTAGCAAGTAATATCTATCAGTTCCAAAACAAAAACCTAATACACACAAATCTAAGTAAAGGAATGGAATAAGAATATATAAATATATGGATGAGCAATGTCATTATCAGAGTGGCATAGGCTAAGATGCAATAGATAGTATAGAATACAGTATATACATAAGAGATGGGTAATTGCAAGGTATATAAACATCATTAAGATAGTATAGAATACAGTATATACATATCAATATATACATATGAGATGGGTAATGCAAGATATGTAAACATTATTAAGGTGGCATTATTAAATTGTCAAGTGTTCCATTTATTAAAGTGGCCTGTGAATTTCAAGTCTGTATGTAGGCAGCAGCCTCTCTGTGCTAGTCATGGCTGTTTAACAGTCTGATGGCCTTGAGATACAGTGAGGGAAAAAAGTAATTGATCCCCTGCTGATTTTGTACGTTTGCCCACTGACAAAGAAATGATCAGTCTATAATTTTAATGGTAGGTTTATTTGAACAGTGAGAGACAGAATAACAACAACAAAATCCAGAAAAACGCATGTCAAAAATGTTATAAATTGATTTGCATTTTAATGAGGGAAATAAGTATTTGACCCCCTCTCAATCAGAAAGATTTCTGGCTCCCATGTGTCTTTTATACAGGTAACGAGCTGAGATTAGGAGCACACTCTTAAAGGGAGTGCTCCTAATCTCAGTTTGTTACCTGTGTAAAAGACACCTGTCCACATAAGCAATCAATCAATCAGATTCCAAACTCTCCACCATGGCCAAGACCAAAGAGCTCTCCAAGGATGTCAGGGACAAGATTGTAGACCTACACAAGGCTGGAATGGGCTACAAGACCATCGCCAAGCAGCTTGGTGAGAAGGTGACAACAGTTGGTGTGATTATTCGCAAATGGAAGAAACACAAAAGAACTGTCAATCTCCCTCTGCATGGGGCTCCATGCAAGATCTCACCTCATGGAGTTGCAATGATCATGAGAACGGTGAGGAATCAGCCCAGAACTACATGGGAGGGTCTTGTCAATGATCTCAAGGCAGCTGGGACCATAGTCACCAAGAAAACAATTGGTAACACACTGCGCCGTGAAGGACTGAAATCCTGCATCGCCCCCAAGGTCCCCCTGCTCAAGAAAGCACATATACAGGCCTGTCTGAAGTTTGCCAATGAACATCTGAATGATTCAGAGGAGAACTGGGTGAAAGTCTTGTGGTCAGATGAGACCAAAATGGAGCTTTTTGGCATCAACTCAACTCGCCGTGTTTGGAGGAGGAGGAATGCTGCCTATGACCCCAAGAACACCATCCCCACCGTCAAACATGGAGGTGGAAACATTATGCTTTGGGGGTGTTTTTCTGCTAAGGGGACAGGACAACTTCACCGCATCAAAGGGACGATGGACAGGGCCATGTACCGTCAAATCTTGGGTGAGAACCTCCTTCCCTCAGCCAGGGCATTGAAAATGGGTCGTGGATGGGTATTCCAGCATGACAATGACCCAAAACACACGGCCAAGGCAACAAAGGAGTGGCTCAAAAAGAAGGACATTAAGGTCCTGGAGTGGCCTGGCCAGTCTCCAGACCTTAATCTCATAGAAAACCTGTGGAGGGAGCTGAAGGTTCGAGTTGCCAAACATCAGCCTCAAAACCTTAATGACTTGGAGAAGATCTGCAAAGAGGAGTGGGACAAAATCCCTCCTGAGATGTGTGCAAACCTGGTGGCCAACTACAAGAAACGTCTGACCTTTGTGATTGCCAACAAGGGTTTTGCCACCAAGTACTAAGTCATGTTTTGCAGAGGGGTCAAATACTAATTTCCCTCATTAAAATGCAAATCAATTTATAACATTTTTGACATGCGTTTTTCTGGATTTTGTTGTTGTTATCCTGTCTCTCACTGTTCAAATAAACCTACCATTAAAATTATAGACTGATCATTTCTTTGTCAGTGGGCAAACGTACAAAATCAGCAGGGGATCAAATACTTTTTTCCCTCACTGTAGAAGCTGTTTTTCAGTCTCTCTGTCCAAGCTTTGATGCACCTGTACTGACCTTGCCTTCTGGATGATAGCGGGGTAAACAGGCAGTGGCTCGGGTGGTAGTTGTCCTTGATTATCTTTTTGGCCTTCCTGTGACATTGGGTGCTGTAGGTGTCCTGGAGGGCAGGTAGTTTGCCCCTGGTGATGCGTTGTGCAGACCACCCTCTGGAGAGCCCTGCGGTTGTGGGCGGTGCAGTTGCCGTACCAGGCGGTGATACAGCCCGACAGGATGCTCTCAAAAGTAGGCTATTATAACTAAAGCATAATTTCAGGTGAACAAAAAAGTCCATACCAGAGGTGGCCAACCATGCTCCACTCCCTGATCTACTGGGTGAGTAGGCTTCTATTCCAGCCCAGCAATAATACACATTATTATCAACTCATTAGGTTTGATAAGTTGAATCAGGTTTGTTAGTGCTGGGCTGGGACAGAAGCCTGCACACCCAGCATACCTCCAGGAGAAGGATTGGCCTGCTCCAGTTGTAATACGTTTGTAGCCTACATTGTGTGTGACTTTTAACTGTATTGTTGTATACAACATTTGCTAACATAAGTACACATACAACCCATGGCATACAAGGATGTGCCAGCAGTCTCTTGGGACATTCACTGGGTCCTACATCTGCAGACAGGCTTTCACAGCTCTCCTTATCTGAGGAAAGACATCACAAAGAAACAGGCATCATTTTATTACAATTAGACAGCCCTGGCTATTATCTCTGAAACTAAAACTGGATAATATTTTCATAATGTCATCCGACAACCTTCCCTTTCTAACTAGTACACCTACTCCCTTTTCTAACATCTGCAGCAAAAAATCATTTCACCCTCTTCCATTGCTGTTATCTACAGTACAAAGGCATTTGGAGCATGAGTTTTTAGTTTACAATGATAAATAGGCCTACATCAAGATAGCAAGCTAATATGACGTTAACTAGCTGTAGTATGTCAAGTTAGCTAGCTAGCTAACTAACAAGCAGCTCTTTAGCCCACACACAGTGGCCTGCTGTAGCTAGCTAGCTAATAATACATACTTTCTTAACATTGTATTGTAACGACCCTGTATGTGTTCTGTGTTCATGGGTGTGTTATCGTTCTCATGGGTGCTAGCAGGGGTTAAATATGCCAGGACAGATGGAAAGGTTGGGGAGGTATGATGGGTAATCCCGCGGGGTTTTGGAATGCTTAAATAGGGGTTACGGTCTCATCTCTCTCTCTTCTGTTCGGGACCCTTGATTTGACATGTTATATTTGTGTATGTTCGAGGTTTAGCGGTGTGGGCTGTGGCCTGAACAATAGCCCATTCAGGAATAAACCTGTGTTCTGCCTGTACACCTGGTGCCCGTCTCTCTTTTACTTTATGACCCAGCTGGGTCATTACATTGGTGTCAGAAGTGCTTTCGAACAACGGGATAGATCGAGATTAGGCGAGTTAGCTGTTTCAGTATAGGCCGTGGTTAGCTTTAGCGTGACTCGCATCTACGGTCATGATGATCGGGGCGAGGCGGAAAGTTAAGGAAGAGTCGGACAAAGTGTCCGTTGTGGGCTCGGGTGTACCCGGTCGGGAGGGTCAGGCGATGACGGCTGTAGAAGAGCTGGAGAGCCACATGGCGGAAGTTAAATTGTCAGTCAGCAAGATGGCAGAACGGGCGGGTTTTCCTTCAAACCGCTCGACCAGAACAGACGTCACGGCGACGGAGATATCGACGTCACCGCGTGCGGAAATGGCTGGGCCTCCTTATGTAAACAGAGATGGCAGCGCCCTATTGCCATTAGCCACGGTAGCGGCTAAACTTCCAAAGTTCAATGGACAAGGTCAATGGGAAGTTTTTTTCACTCAATTCGAGTTGTTGGCTAGAGCCGGGAGGTGGTCTGACGAGACGAAAGGGTTACAGCTTGCCCTGAGCCTGGCAGAGGAGGCGTCGGAATGCCTGCTAACGCTAGCCCCGGACGAGAGGGGCAACTACGGTGCGCTAGTGGAGGCATTGGGGGGCCGTTTCGGCAGCGATGCACAGCCCAACATGCTGCGGATTGAACTGAATAACAAAAAGAGACTTCAGGGGGAATCATTAAAGGCGTTGGCAAGTGATATTCTGAGCCTGACCAGGCGGGCTTATGCAACTATGCCGATTGGGGTGCAAGACGAGCTGGCACGGAACAGTTTTATTAGAGCGCTCTCCCCCACCGAACTGGGTAAGCATGTTCAGATGTCGGACCCAGCATCTCTGCGGGCTGCAGTGGAGATAGCCAGGAAGAGGGAGCTGATCTGGGGTGAGGGAGTGAGAGTGGAGGTTGCCAGTCAACCAGAGGTGAGAGCAGCGGCGGCCGGGGTGCCGGGAGTCACCAAACCAGAGTGGGTCGACGAGT